TCATAGCTTCTTTAATTGCATCATATGAGGTGCTATCAAAGGCTCCCTCGATGTCCAAAAAGACGCCCAGGGCATATCCCTTTGCCTCCAACTGCGCCTCGACCCTGCCCACAAGGTGGTGCAAGGCAGTATCTGTGGATCTACTCTCCCTGTAAGCATATTGGGAGGGGGCCAGAGGATGTAACAGCAAAGGTTTGTTCTTTAGAAATCTATCGACCAGCCTCTCCAATGTCTTAAGTACGAAGGAGGTGAGGCTGATCGGTCTAAAGTCTTTGGCTGAAATGTAACCATTTTTGCCAGGCTTGGGGATAAAGACCACTCTTGTACCACTCCAAGCCTGGGGAACATGTCTCAGGGCTAGACTAGCTCTGAAGATTTTAGTAAGTGGACCGATTAGTACCCCCAGTCCCTCCTGGAGAAGGGCCGGGTAGATACCATCCGATCCAGGTGATTTATATGGGTTGAAGGTCTTAACAGCCCATTCAACCCCTTTTGGATAAACAATCTCGGCCGCCAGGCCTCACTCCCTGGGTTTGTATTCCCTGGGCTTCGACCTGCCGGGTTGTGTGTTATGATCAAAACCTGGGAAGTGGACTTCCATTAAATGTTTTAATGTGTCCGATGTCCCTTCGGTGACTTTTCCCGTTGGGAGCTTAAGACAGCCCAATTGGGGACGGTGATCTAGGCTGAGGATTTTGTGAAGCCTGGATGCCTCCGGGGCACTCTCAATTTTTTCACAGAAGCATCTCTAGCTTTCGAATTTTGCTTTCTTTATTGCCTTGCTGTAATCTTTTTGGGAGCATCTAAAAGCTTTCCAGTGCACAGCAAGTCCGGTTCTTTTTGCCTTGTTGAATCTCTTTCTCGTTTTCGACCTGAGCTTTTCAAGACCTTTGTTCCACCAGTGGATCTTGGTCACCGGGTTCCTGGGTCTCGGCAAGCAGTTTAATTCATAGGCATTCGTAATGGCGTTCTTTAAAAAGTCCGCCGCGTTTTCCAAATTGTTTTTGGTTTTAAAACTGGTTGGGGCCTCAACAAGCTGTGCTTTAAGGTCGGCCCTATAGCCTTCCCAGTTGGTTTTTTGTGGGTTACGAACCCAGCTAATTTGTGGTGGTTGCTGGAGAGTTAGGCGTATGTGTCTGTGATCAGAGCCGGAGGGTTCATTCGAAACCCTCCAGTCCCTCACCAGACTCCCCACCTTCTTCGTACAAACTGTAATGTCAATAACTTCCTGTCTTCTAGAGTCCAGGAATGTTGGCTCATTTCCTCTGTTGAGGATAAGTAATCTTGTACCCATCAAGAAGTCGTGCAGACTCTCCCCCCGCGGGTTGATATTTGAGCTTCCCCACCCTACGTGGTGGGAGTTTGCATCACAACCCAGCAGGAGTCCAAGTCCCCTCGCCTCCGCATAGGTCACCAGAGTTTTTACCTCCTCTTGTGGTGGTGGTTCTGTGGAGTCATAGGGCATGTAGACTGACCCTATTAAGATCTCCAAGTCTTCTTCCTCAGCCAGCTTTACCTTCACCTTGATGACTGCAAGGTCCTCGCTGCTGAGCTGTGGCAGAAAGATTGCATTAAGTCCTTTTACCAAAATGCAGGATCTTACCCTTACTTCTGAGTGTGCTTTGTATAGGTTCCCGCATCCACTCAGCCCCTTAACTGCACCATTTACAATCCAAGGTTCTTGGAGTAGTGCAATACTTGTGTGCATCGCAGCCATGCTCCTGGCTAAAATAGCCGCGGCGCTTTTGCTGTGATGCAAGTTAATCTGTGTCATTTGGATGCCGAGAGGAGCCATTTTTAGGCAGTCTCGACAACCTCCGACACCTTCTCCCTCTCCGTCGCCTCTCCCCGCTCCCGTCCCGCCACCCTAATAGTGGCACGGCCGAGACC